ATTGGCCACAAATGTTATAAAAATTGCTTATATATAGAATTCTGGTCGACGTGATAGTCGTTGGATCAGAATTATGTAGCCTTATCTACCAGGGTGAAGTCTCACGTCACTTCGTGTGCTATGCATTTAATATATTGACAACGAGTGAGCCACCCTACATATTAGGCTGACAAATCTTGACATTCATTATTACAAACGTTACATTAATCACTCTTAAAGATTGTCTGCAAATCTTCTAAATGATAGCAAGGGCTTCAGCCAAAAGGGAGTTTCGTATTGGACGTATTTCAGTGTGAAAAGCTACGGGACAGAGAGCTTTGGCTTCTTATGTAGTGCTTTGGGTTTAGAGTTTCATCCACTAATATAGTGCTTCGAATGAAAAGGGCGCCAGCTTCTTCAAGGACTTCGACCAAGGGGGGAGTTTCGGAACATTAGCTTTTCTTTGACTTCTTTATTTTGACCAATTGAGTCTTCATTAACTTGCATCTCGACGTGGACTATGACATGATCTTCTGACTGGAGTTTCGATGGCGAGACGTAACAGAATCTACATACTGTATAGACACTCGTTAGATGGGTTTGAATTTATTGATGATCTTTCCCTTTGGGAAATGTTGTCTTGATTTGGAAGGTATTTCAAATTATTTTGTAGAAGTTACTTTTAAGTCATTTCATAAACTATTAATTAGTGAGAATCAAATACTCTCGTGCGTTCTAGCCATGGTCCACGTGATTCTTTTTTTTTATATCTAAGCCCCTGTTTGATACACATTTTTAATAAAATTCATTTTCAACCACACATCATTCGATAAAATAATATTACACGTACAAATTCCTTCCACTTAGACGGCAATGTTATTGAAGATGTACATCAAAGTGTACATCTAGTACAATTTATAATTAATAGATTTTTCCACAATGACGACCTCCTTAGCGGGAAAGTGGATAAAAGAGAATATTTAAAGTTAATTCAACCTTTTCAAACACATCTTAACAATGTTAATGTTTTAAGTGGGACCCTTTTGGGCCTTGAGAATAGAATATTATGATTGTAGGTCAAAAACTGGATTGATATGCGTGTATGGATATGTATAGTGGTGAACAGCCAAAATGCTTCATGTTGGTGTTAGTCAAACAGATAAATATATAAGTAATGTTATTTAGCCTATGTTTGATACACATTAAAATTTGTATTCTCATTTTCAATTACACATTTTTCAATAAAATAATAATTTTCATCACATCATTAATTTTTCCTTCTTTTTCAACCACACATTCTCCATCAATTACTATTTCAGAATACATTCTTCAAAAATAATGTAGCTCAAACACACCCTTAGGTATACTGATGTTAAAGTATCAGTTTACATGATATTAATGTGATATTAAATGAGAGTTATAATTAAATGTGAATCATTTAATTTTATCTTTCTTTGAACATATCACTTAGCGTCATTTAGATTGATGTTATAGTATCAGTGGTGCTTGACAGCATCGTTCTAAAAATATTGAATAGGACAGATAAAAGAAAAGAAAAGAAAAAAGCATTGGATGAGGGTGATAAAGAAGAACAGCACACGACCTGACTCAGCTTTAAATTTTATTGCCACTTGTAATTACTGAATCTGCTGCACATGGTGGCCTCGTGGAGTGTGGGTGGTGGAGTTTTGAGATTAGTTTGCATCCTTCCTTTGTTTTCTTTACTTTTTTTACTTTCTCCGATTCATCATGGAACACTTAGCAACTAGGAAGTGGAATCTCACTAGGAATTTATTAGTTCCATAGTTGTATATTCAGTCGAAGGGATTTATTAATTACGTGACTGTGTATTCAATCGAGTACATGAAACTCAGTCGCACGTATTTCAGTGGGTTATTTGCAAATACATGTTCATATATATCAAATAACAATTTAGTGAGTGGCATTTATGTGATCATTAAGTTACATTCTTGATATTTAAATTTAGAACATGTTTGATATGTATTTATAAACTTTTTGAATTATAAATCATAGAAATGAATGGTTGTCTGTGATAGCACATGTTAGTCTCTCGAAATGCATATAAAAGTGACTTGAATGCTTATAAACACAAGCCAAACATAGGATTAGACGTTTGATTGAAAGATCCAATTAAATAGGAGATGTCCATGGATCATAATGCAAGGAATAGCCCACAAACAAGAGAACCATGGGCTAAAGCCCAACTACTTGATTGAGGCCCATCAATCAGCATGCAAGGAAAGGCCCAAAAATAAGAAAACCAACAACCATGGGCCACAACCCAATTACTTATTAAGGGACTATTGATCATCATTAAATGTAGAAAAAACAAGGGAAAAATTCATTTTTCCTACTTTATTTTTATCCTATTTCAAAAATAACAAAACAACTTTTCGATTTTTGAAATGTAAAAGTTGTTTTGTTATTTTTGAAATAGGATAAAAATAAAGTAGGGAAAGTGAATTTTTCAAATAACAATTATCTTTACCCTATTTCAAAAATAACAAAACAACTTTCACATTTCAAAAATCAGATTTTTTAACCTATACATACACATATATATAAATATTTATTTATATATATAAATATATAAAAAGATATAAATAAATAAATATAATTAACCCACCCCCACCAATCCGGTGACTATTCCGGCACTGCTCCGGTGACTGCTCCGATGCCGATTCCAGCGACTGCTCCGAGGACTACTCACCTCTGTTTACACCCGCAATTACTGGATCATGTACCACCATTACCTCCGTTTACACCCGTAAACCACCACAAGCAGCGTCGGTCGCTACCCCCACTCATCTAGGGTTTATTTGATTTGGGCATTGAATCCAATTTTTGACTAGCAATCAACGGATCTGAAGAGAGGCGAAAGAATTGACGAGGGGCTGAGGCGAAAGAAACCAGATGCGAAGGCGAGGGCTGATGGAGCCACAACGGTCGTCGTCGACGGTGATAAATGGAAGGTTGTTTTCAGCGCCGACGAGGGGAGTACAGCAGGGCAACGCTGCTGCGAGTTCACAGCAGCTTCCGCTAGTCAAGTTTGACGGTACTGGCAACAACAGCTTCCGATGGGAACGATGCAGCTTCTGCCGGTGATGTTCCTCCGATGAAGTTCCTCAACGCTGGAGCTGTGTTGTCGGCGAATAGATGGTGTAGGGTGAAGGCGGCAGTGTGTAATGGAGAGAGAGAGATAGAGAGGAAAGTGTGAATTGTTTGTAGTGTTTGTGAATTGTGTATATTATAATTAATTATAATATTATTATTAATATTTAATTAAACATAAAAAATATGTATCTATATATTTAAATCTCTGATTTTTGAAATTTAAACCACCAAATCTGATTTTAGAATTTGAATCTCCAAATGTAGGAAATGGTGTAATTTCCACAAAAAACAACCCAATAACTTATGTTAGGCCCACTGATTATCATGAAAGGAAAGGCCCAAAATAAAAAGCACACATTAATTCAGGATTCATTTTATAGGCCCACAATAGAAAAACCAACCCAAGAACTTATGAGGATCCATTTTCTAAAAGGGAAGAATACATAAATCATGTCTTTACTTTTACCCATTTCAAAAATATCAAAACATGTTTCAAAATTCAAAAATCAGGTTTTATTGAATTTTTAATTATGAAATAATAATTATTAAATTAATTTATTATTAATATTTAATTCTACTATAAAATAATTAACCAACCCCCACCTCCACCATCACTACAACTTCGGGGATACTCCGGCGATCGCTCCGGCGACTTTTTCGACAACTGATCCAATTCCGACGAATATGTTAAGGTCACAGATCTATACAATTTGGTCACAATTCAAAAAAAATTAGGTCACAATTCAAAATTTTCGTCAGTCACAAATTGTTCATCGATCACAACTTAGAAATTTCAAAGTTACAATTTATTCATCGGTCACAGATGCCAAAATTTATAAGTCACAATACTTATTTAGGTCACAATTTATCAATTTATTGGTCACAATTAATATTTTTTAGGTCACAAATTAATAATTTTTAGGTTACAATTAATAATTTTTTGGTCACAATTAACCAAATACTTGGTCACATACCACCAACAATAACCACTACCATCGTCGCCCCGGCCACAAAACCGCCACCACCTCACGGCAACCAATACCAACACCACCGTCGCAACAACAAACACCCCACACAAAACACCACTACCACACAAAAAACACTACCACCACCGACGCATCCAACCACACAAAAGACAACCATCGTCGTCGGATGACTATCACCACCATCGCCGTCCGATCTGTGAACAAAAACCACAAAAATACAACAGATCTGTGATAAAAACCATCAAAAACCACTACCGTTCGCGACGGATCTACTGTGAAAAAAACCCTCCCAACGGATCTGCTGCGAGATTGAAAAACCATACAACAGATATGCTGCATCGCGAACTGGGCAACGTCGACGCTGCCGCTACTACCAACTGCAGCAGCGACGTCGCGAATGGCAGGGACGGATCTGGCCGGCAGCTGCTGTAGAGAGAAGGAGGAGAGGAAGAATGATTGTGGCCGGTAGCAGCAGCAACCGTAGTGACCGTGGCGGAGGTGGCGGCGGGAGGAGAAAGGTTGGAGGAGAAGAAATGGTTGAAATAATTAGGGTTTGTTCCTTTTATTGTATATAGATTTAAAAATAAAAATAAAAAATACTTTTAAATTATTAAATAAAACCTGATTTTTGAAATGTTGAAATTGTTATTGGATTTTTGAAAATGGAAATCTAAAAACAGGTGTAGTTGCAATTTCCTCTTTCTAAAACAAATGGCATATGATCCAACTAGTAAAATGCTTCTAAAGTTCAAACTAAAAACATCAAATAATAAAAACCATACAAGAGACTGACGGAAAATTTAGCAAACAAAAAGAGAACAGGCTACCGCCATGTTTCCATTGATTATTTGCAGACAATCTAAGAAACTTAAACGAAGAACTCCTTGAGGCTGGTCCTTATCATTCATCGACCCCCCACTTGACATTGTACTTGGCTGAAAGATAGTGGGCCCCAACCGGACCTCGACTTCCATAAGGATAATACTCGGGAATTAATCTCTTATCTTCGAGCTCTTTCAAAAGAGGAGTAAATAATGCCCAAGCAGCATCCAATTCATCACTTCGGATGAAAAGTCTCCTTTCACCTTCGATGGCATCCAAAAGAAGTCTCTCATATGCATCAGGGATCTCCTTGGAGTATCTATAAAGGATAGAAAGAATATATTAATATTAAGCAAAAAAATGTACCCGAATTGATAAGAATTTTGTGATGACGGATTTCTAATTCATTATCAGCAGCATAGGATAATGTAACCAGTTTGAAACAGATTCAGTTACCGTTTGGCCCCCATTAATTTGCATTTTTCAACCCACTCTATGGTTATTGACTCCAATGCTGCAAGTCAAACGATTTTACAAATAAATAATTGTGCACATCAATCACATCAACACGGCCCCATGTTTGTTGAAAAATGTGGAACAAAATAATGAGATATAATGGGGGCCAAACGGAGGCTCAGTAAACTCAATGTGATATTGATTTCCATATAATCTTCCAAAGTGCATATAGATTATTTAGAGATAGTTGCACACAAATCCATATGATACAGAATTTTTATGACCCCTTGAAACCGCAAAACATACAGATTTCGAAGAAAAACGGGACGATTATGGGCCACTTGGGAGCGATCTTGGGATCCACAAGTTGAATAATTACGAAGTTCTCAGCACTTGATTTACCCAAAAAAAGAGAAAAATATGAAAATACTAAAACTGACGCTTAATAAATGACCAAAGCAATTCACTGGATGAACTCCATAAACAGCCATGACAAATCACAGTAAGGGTAAAAGTTCGAAAGACAAAATTGAATATTCTAATCATTACCTTGCTTTGTATAGAAGATTAAGATTACTTCGGTCCAATCTCATTCCCAGCCCAGGAACTTTGTTGTTGATCTTCAAATAAATTGCTTCATCAGGCTGAACACGTATAACAAGCTCATTTGTCGCTCGGTCAAGATCAGTCCCAAAGTTCCTATTGTATAAATTACCAGGGACATGTCTAAACTGCACTCTTATCTCAGCCCTGGGAAGGATATGAGGCAAAGTGTAAGGACAACATTGAAAATTTGGAACTGCATTTTAATTGTGCTTAAAAGTTTCTTTTCCACAAAGTAAGTTTTGTTAGTAAAACAAGTATTTGACAATCATATTTCGCAAAATAAATAACTTAAAAGTAGGTTTGACGTGGAAATTGTATAATTTGGATTTTGCTAACCTCCTATCATGCAAAGCTTTCCCAGCTTTCATTAGAAAAGGCACTCCATCCCATCTCGCGTTGTCTATGAAAAGTGCTGCCGCAGCAAAAGTTGGAGTTAGGCTGTCTTTTGGTACGGTTTTGTCATCTGTATATGCTGGGTAGGTGATGCCTCCTTTTGTGTCACTCTTGTACTGTCCAATTACCACATCATCCATAGATAAAGTCCTCATGGAACGCAAAACTTTAACCTGTAAAGTATCGAAAATTAGTAATAGATCTCACAAAAACACAGAGATATATCAGACCAAGGAAAAACCTTTTCGTTTCTAATATCTTCTGCATCCAAACTGACAGGTGTTTCCATGGCAAAGAGGGCCAATATTTGAAGTAGATGATTTTGCATTATGTCTCTTATTATCCCGTAATTGTCAAAGTAACTAGTGTAACACGGGAAAAGCAATAAAAGAGAGTGAGTTCTGAAGATGTAATTAGATTTATTAAATGCCTAATGTATGACACAACTTACCCTCCTCTTCCTTCAGTGCCGAAATCTTCAGAGAAAATAAACTGAACATTCCTTATATACTGCCTCGACCACAAGGGCTCAAATATAAGGTTTGAGAAGCGAAGAACAGAAAGATTCTCTACTAGCTCCTTCCCAAGATAGTGATCTATCCTGTAAGAGAGGAAAGCAAAGAAGAAAATTTCTCAATCAATTACTAGTCAATCCCCATTACAGGTTATAGGCTTATAGCGCAGAGTCACAACAAATAGAGAGTAAGAAATTGTTCACCTGAAAATTTGATCTTCCTCCAAGTATTGCTTGAGAGATCTAGTCAAAGCAGCTGAGGATTCAGAATCCCGACCAAAAGGTTTCTCCACAATGACCCTCGTCCAGCCATTCACAGAAGATGCAGAGACACTCGCACATCTTACAGCATCTATGAAAATGTTTGGTGGGATCGATAAGTAGAAAAGTCGATTGGAAACTCTTCCACCCTATGCAGAAGACCATCAGTTGTTAAAACTAATGAAAGAAACAAGAATTCACAGATTGTTAGTAAAAAATATCACGTTTCATAATTCCCAAGATTAGGTCCTGACTCACTGGAATTGACATCTACCAGAGACAGTTTCATAAACCTGAGTTCTGTACATTATATAGGAAATACAACCAGATAATCTCATATAAAATTTCTCATACTTTACTATAGTGTAAGTTTGAAAGGATGGTACCAAACCATGATGAACTATTCAAAACTAGAATAAATGCAGAGATGCAAATTTTAGGAACACAGATTTTTGGATTTCCCATCGAAATACTAATTGAATTAATCTGCACGCATGATGCACAAACCAGAAAGAATTTGCCAATACTCACTTCGAAGTTCGGCTCCAAAGGTGATGTACATTAATTAAAATATTAGACAAAACTCAGAATCAATAAACATGATAATATCCCCATTACCTCATGTTCCTTCAGTTTCTCATCAAGTTCCACAAAATTTTCCTTCGAATCATATTGACCAGAGTGGTAGAAACATCTTTTTAGGAACTGTTCCATCTTTTCACCACAATTTTCCCTAATAGCAAAATGAAAAATGCATGATCACTCTAAACAATTCAGCACATACAAGCTCAATTATAAATGAAAAAACGCAAATTAGAACGGAAGGGCAATAAGGCATGCAATGACTGAATAAATCTCTAGCAGAATGCAAATCGGCAGTCACCTTTTGTCAATTCTGCAAGTAAGAGTCTTGCTAACCATGTTTCTTAGTTCAGCATCAGATATCTTACTACGGGCGTAACCAAAGATTGAAAAATGCTGTGACCAAATAAATCAATTAAGTATTTAGTCAAGATCCATATCAGAACATCATGATACACTCATTGAGCATAACTGCAGAGCCCATTTCTCATAGTCAAATCCTTCACTTTGCAATTTTTACATCGAAATTATAGAAAAACATAGTAAATGTGACACAGACCTCGGGGAGGCAATCCTCGTAATAAAGTGCAAAAAGTGCAGGAAATATCTTCTTCTTGGCAAGGTCACCAGAGGCCCCAACAACTGTAATGCTGACAGTGGATTTATCATTGTTTACATCAAATCCAATTGGCTCTTTATGTTTCTCTGGAGAAGAAGCTGACAACAACCCATCTTTCAATTTTTTCGTAGGAGGTTCATTTTCAACTATGGTGGCTGTTCTGGCTACGGCACCTAAAATATTCTTGGTTTAGCTAACACAGCTTGCATACATAAATAACTTACAGAAATATGATATTAACATAAAAATAAATAAATAAATTCAAGAACAAATACAACAAGAAGCCGCATCAAGTCCAAGAACTCTATATTTTGGGGGTAAAATTGAAATTTTATTTTTTCTTTTGCTGATTTTAGCCAAATGTTGTTGGGATGGAAAAAAAATCTATCTTTTTTCTGGTTTTCAATTCTCAAACAATTGAATTTACACAGAAAATCAATATCTCTCTTTCATCAATTTCTGGAAATCAAATTATCAAACCCACAAACGAAATCAACTGATAAGATTCAAAACACAAAATTAAGAACAGAACCGGGAAAAAAAAAGGCTCTCAAATTCAAGCAGATAACAACATAACCAAATTAGCAACCAAGAAAATTGACATAAAACTCATCAAAAAAGAAGAATTAAAACTCAAAGAAACAGTTATATTAACCCATAAGTCAGGGGGGAAAATAACTAACCTTCTTGCATTAGAATGGCATTTGAAGATGGGCGGCTGTTAGATTGTAAAGAAATCTTTTTTGAGCCCAGATGTTTAGGAGAAATTGCAGAAAATTCTAAGTTGCTGATATAATAATGATGATGATTAAACCTAAGAGACGAAGAATTTGAATAAGCTGATGATGATGAACAAAAATGAGTTGATGAAGAAAGTGATGCCATAATCACAAATCTATTGTTCTTAGAATGTGATTTTAATGAATTGAATAGGTTTCTTCTATCTGTGTATGAAAGAATGAAAGAAAATTGGGGGGTCGCGTGGGGGTTGGTAGGACTTCGGAAATGTCGAGGGGTGAGTCACTTGAGATCTCCGAAAGGCTGGTTTTTCTGGTCTGGATGCAAGAAACAAATAGAATTATTTGAAGGCTCAATATTCTTTGGGAACAATATACAAGGAGAAATGTTATTTATCCCTAGTGGGGATGCATTCACAGTTTGTGTGACGTTAATACGGTATTAAATGATGGGTGAAATTAAATAAGTCGTTTAATTTCACCTATCATTTAACCAATCATTTACATCCACATATATTGGGGATTCATTTCCATTGGGGATGAATAGCATTTCTCATATATAAATCAGGTTTTTAAGTATGATCATTTCAAAATTAAGGATAGAGATTTTAAATTTCAAAAGTCAAGTTTTCATTAAAATTTATTTATGAATTAATTAAACAATTATATATTTTAAATATATAAATGCCACATAATTATGCAATTTGGTTACAATTCAAAAATTTTAAGGTTACAATTCAAAAATTTTATAGGTCACAAAACATCAAATTATAGGTTACAAATTAATAAATTTGTAAGTCACACTGTATTTATTGGGCACAATTTATTCTTCATTTGTCGCACACCAAACAATTTATTGATCACAATAAACAAATCATTTGTGACCACCACCAACACAACACCACCATCATCTCCGCTACCAACACTAACACCACCAACACTAAAGAAATGCACCACCGTCGCCAACACCAACACCAACACCACAGAAACGCACCACTGCCGCTAACAACACCATCATCGCAACCACTTCCCAACAACAAAATATCGTTTCAGACATCGCAATCAACATTTTCACCACCACCACTACACCAAACCTGTCAACATCACCACAACCACCACCCAAACACCACTAAAAAATCGAACCACCACACCACCACTACCACCAATAGAACGTCGAGCCACTCTCACCATTTGTGAACCACAATCGCCGGACCACATCACCATCACAACCACTATTGCCGCCGCCGCCACCTGCGCCCACATTTGCAAAACACCATCAAGAACCAATAAAAATCACCCCCAAATCACCGGCTAAACAACATATTGAAATAGGAAGAAACTATCCCCAAAAATCACAGCTCGCGTCATTATCGCAGCAATCTAAGCACCATACAACGACACTATAATCACTGCTACAATGTAGTGCTCGTCGCTGCAGCGTTAGATCCGAGCATCACTGCAGTGTTGCTCCGCTGATTGCCGTGCAACAGACGATCGTCGTTGTGGTGCCAGATCTTAGCACTGCTTCATGTGGTGCCCATCAGCCGTTGTTGCGGTGCCAGATCGCCGTGCTTGCTCATAGTGTTGTTGCACCGGCACAAGAGAGTGAATAGAGAGAGAAAGAGAGATTAGGGTTTGTAATATTATTATTATTAATAANGAGGGTTTTAGGATTAAAAGTTGAAGAAGAAAATTTGATCTGGACGTTTTAGTTTAGATGGAGAAATTGCATTTCAGAAATTTGATTTTGAGAGAAGATATGTTATTTCTCTACGTTGCTTGCCAATTCAATGACTAATACTAAAAAATGACTTGTGAGATTCTTTGGATCGACGTAAGCAAAAAATCAATAACTCAACAATATGAATGGTACTGAGAAGTTCAATAATGAATTTGGAACAATATTGAACTCCGCTATTAAAATGAAACTTTTGTAGCAACTAGTCGTAAGCACGTGTGTTGCACTTTCAAAGTAGTTGAAGTAATGTTATGATTACAATAACACTTCTTTATATACAATATTTTTTATAGGCTTCACACATCTTTTCTTCTTTTTATTTTCTGTTTTTATCAAGACTTTTGTTTTTTGCATAGAAACTCCACAAGAAAAAGCGACATAGTTGCCAATGAGAAGATACATCTTCAGGAAACTATATTCCAAAGTGGGCGCTCTTTGTCCTTGTATCTTGTTAATAGTCATTGTAAAGTATAGACGTATTGAAATTTGCTTCCTTTTGAATTTGAATAGATATCCTTCATCATTTGCTGCAGTTAATGGAATGCGTAGAAGGAAAGTTTGTTTTCCATCATATTGTCAAATTATTATTTTTGCATTGATAATATGTTTTTTAAAATCACGACAAATTATTTTTGTTTCATTGCAAAGACTGTTGGAAGAGTCCAAATTCCTTGAGATCATCACTGGACAATTTCTTTCCAAGTTTGACTTATGTGGCGGGATACCATTTGAAAGCAATGTATTTAGGAACTCCTCTTGATAAAATTGATTTGTATCATCTATTGTTTCGTCAAAACTAACAAATTATTCACTTTCTCTAATTAATAACCTAATTAGTTTGTCATTCAAGTAGCCAAAATACTTATTTTTTGTTGAAAGAATTTTACGTTGTGTCATATAATCAGAAGAAGAAGTATTTTCTAGTTAAACCTAGAAACACTGCATTGATTAAGTGTAACTCTAAAATTTTAACATCGTCACATGCTATAACTATCTCATTTGGTAAGTTGATGAAGTCATCCCATATATAATGTTATGTTCCATTATCAACTTGTATGGTCAACGATGGTCAAATGGATGTCCATTAGGACCCAAATGTATATTTTTGAAAGGTTTGTGATTGTATGTGGCACAAAGTAAAGGTTATGGTTATTTGAACAAAATGATGTAGACAAATCGAGGAATTGATCTCAATTCCTAGCAAACCTCATTTAAATCAATTTCTATTTAACCAAAGCTTTTAGGTAACATATTAGTTTAATGTTAGGAAGAATTACACCATAGTTTCCTAATTCATTTTCAGTTGCAAGTTAGTCCATACAAATGAAAAAGAGTGAGGTTGTCCTTATCATTTATATACAGCAGTTGTACGACTACTCCAAAACCAGATAAACCATTTGAAAGGGCAACATTGATAGACAAAATCGTTGAGGTTCTAATGATTTCCACTATTCATAAAGTTGGTCATACAAGAACTATAATGAATTAACAAAATTTTGAAGAGTACTCATCATTGAAGGTCGATATCTTGTTCATATTAAAACTTAAAAGGTGCAATTCTCCCTTAAGTTCTGTTAGAAGCCAAGATGGGCAAGTTTACACGCATGAACCTCTTTGGTTATGTGGAGTGTTGGGAGAAAAATTAATTGGGTGGAAGGTAGAATCTCTTCTCCCCCAAGGAAGGAATATGATTGCGTCAACTATTCCAATTCCCATATGCTTAATTAGTCAAAGGTCCACACTTCGTTGCCTACCTAGAGCCACCCCACCCCCGCCAAAAAAAATCACACACAAACAAAAGTCTTTACTAATAAAATAATAAATTTACTTTATAATTCTAATATGATTTATTATATGAATGCGAGATTTATGGAAAGATCTAAGCAAGCGAATCCTAAAAACTTTAATAACACATATCTATTATGACCGTTGTATCAAATTACGTTTCTAATTATAAACTAAATCCTCTTCGTGTGGGTATAAGACATAACAAAATTTGAGAAAGCTATATATATATGAATGAAATAAAATTTAATTCACCTTTTCATTCTCAAACAAATGTTACATCACGAGCATCCAACATTTAAACACGAGAAAGTTTGAATTCGAATTCGTTGTAGAATTGGAAAAACTTTCTTATATACTAGAATAAATTGTCCTAACTCGTAAGATTGTTGAGAAATTTTTCTTTCAGTGTCACTAGTTGTACTTTTTCTTGGAAGTAAGAATAAATTATGTAATTGTGATAAAATGAAATTCGGTAATCCATATCAACTTTATTGTAAATGCAATGACCTTCGACGAATTTCATCGTAAGATTTTTCTTTAAATTGCTTTACCGTGTCCAATTCATCATATAAAAACGAGTTTCTTGTTTATTTGAAAATATTGTTACGCTCGAATAATATTGTCTACGCCTTTTAAGTACCAAATTTGTGTGTTACAATTTATTGATAAGAGTAATAAAAGGGTTTGAATGCAACGTACATAGACAATATATGAGAAGTACAAAAGTAAAATGCGTGAAAAATATGGGTTACGCTTGGAGAGGAGGTGTAGTGTAAAGAACCAGAAGGCAGCTTTAAATTTTAATTAGGCAAAAAATGTGAATGGTGAGTTGGTTTGACATTTTAATTAGAATAAGTGATTGAAACCCCCCCACCCCCCCACCCCCCTTTTATTTTTTATTTTTCCATTTTTTAATTTACTATTAAAATATGAATTTCTGGAAAAAAAAATTGACTATAAAATATCTTCTTTTTTTTTTTGTCGGCCCACAGGCTTTTGAGGCAAGTACATAGATACGAGGCTGCCTAAGTTTGAAGATGATTTTACATAAGGAACAATACATAAATCGTATATATAAGAATTACATTTCAAAAATAACAAACTTTAAAAAAAATTTCAAAAATCAAGTGTTAAATCAATTAATTAAATATTTTTAATTATAANCAAAAGATAGATCCAGTACCAAATATCAAAAAAAAAAAATTACAGGTGCTATCTAGTTTTAACTTAATAGCACCAGGAGATCCTCAAACAACTACCTCAAAAATACACAACAAAAAAAGCCGGCAAAAACAAACTACAAATGCCAGACTACGGGGTTGTTGCTTAGGTGCAGGGACAAGACTGCTGGTTATAATCATTGTACCATGTCAACAAAAAATTGAATGCCCCTCAACGAGTACTAGGGAAAAGAATTGAGAACAACAGCCATTGCACTCAAAATATCAGAGAAAATTTTGAATTGGCTGGCTAACTTCTAAAACCTCGAATCCTCAAAAATTGCAATCCTAAAGTACTACAGCAACTTTCTCCTGGGAAACAAGTGATGATGGAATAGCAATAAGAGGCTCGTAATGATCAGCACCAGCACCACACCATCCTGCAGTCAGTCTAAATATTAATAACGTGAATGGGAATGATGGCAACAAACAGGTGATGTGCTATTTACCTGTTCCTTTCATGAACAGAAAGAAGGGAGGTTCACATACTTCACTTCTCGGACAATGCGGTAAGAAGAAAACACAATTTTCTTCATCAACCATTGCATCAGATCCATGTGCTTGCACCTGTGAATAACGAATAAATTGTGGGAGGGCTTAAAAACAAGTTCTTCCAATCATCTATCTCGATGCAGAGGAAATTAACTACGAAAAAAAATTTAGGATCTTTTTGGTGATATTCTCTACTTTTAGGAACTCTTGCACGAAAGTACAATATCACTAAATACACTCAAAAAGCCCTACGCCAGTATCAATTTTCAACAATGAATTATTCAATCAAGGTAGAAAAGCTTCTTGTTCGTTTATTTCTTACCCTTCCGGGGAAACCTCCACGAACCGCCTTTTCTTGGGTTTCTGTTCCAAATTTCTCTTTTTTCAAAATTTTTTTCTCCTTAATTAGCATAGACTGACAAATCAGTATTTGGAACAGTCTTACATATACTACTAACTAATAAGACCGGCTCGGGATGTTCACTTCGGTACTGGTAGTCAACTTGTATTACGAACAGTTCAAGAAGCAAACGCAAACCCTAGCTAAAATAGCCTCCAACTAATATCTTCTCTACTCAGTTCCATCCATAAGAAACTACATGAGTTGAAGACCAACACAAGGCAAGAAAGACAGATACAGTAATTATGCCAAATCTATATACATCAAGATACAACGCACAATGTTAGTTTAAAACATTGTCAAAACTTGCACCACTTGTTGCATGAGGATTACAGCTAACAGAATATTGTGCAGGCAAAAGTATGCAAATAATGTTGGGTCAAATTACAAAATCAAACAAATATTAACACAGAGAAAAATAATAGAAGAAAAAGAAGCAACACATAGGGGAAACATCCTCTTACCACAAATATCTCCCTTTTGAACTCGGTTGCAAGACATTCTATCGCAATGTCATCGCCAAAAGCAGCTGCATGGCCATCTCTATTCTCATCTACAGTCAATAACCCCTCCTCAGTATATTGCAAACTGATGATATCATATTCATCATCAGGGCAACCAGAGATTGACATGTACTTGGCCCAACTTTGGCCATCATCCACAGCTATACATCTTTCTTTGTATATGGATTCAGCAGCTAATTCTCTTCAATCATCAATCACAAAACCCCGAATAAAAAAAAAAATAAAACCAAGCCAAATGTATAATATATAAGAAGTTCAACTAAACGCAAGCCTTAGAGCAACATTCAAGAACAATGGTTCTATTCATTGTTTACACATCCAAAAGCAAATATTTAATTTCACTACACAACACGGAGTATGTAAAAGCAACAGAAATTAATCAAATAAATTCACTGATTTGAAGAGTAATATGACTTTTTAAGCTGAATATTAGACGCACAAATAAAATTTCGCTTATTACAAGTTATCCAACAGTATATTAATATAAAATCATTATAAAAATTAGCTAAATCTTATAAAATTCCCAGAAAATTATTGAAATTAAAGTAAATTCTGTGTGGGTTTATCTTCAGTCCACCTCCTTTTTTTTTTTTTTTTGGAAACAGTCTTCTGTTGAAAGAAAATAAATTATCAAAAGTAAATTTTCAAAACCAACCTCGACACGAGATTTCTAAATTTTTTCGGACACCCAAAAAAGGGAGAAAAACGACAAATATCAGATTTTTAAATCTGTTCTCTGCAAATCCTCAAATGTGAAAAGGAATTCTTAAATATTGAATTTTCTTATTCATTTCTTATATCCCACATTTTTCCAATAACCAAACAGTCCCAAAAAAATGCAAAAAGAACCAAAACAATTTTTTCCCGAGCAAAAAAAAAAAAAAAACCATAGATGGAGGAATCATAGAGAGAACCCAAATCTAGAAAAAGAAAATCTTGTTTGTTGGCAAGAAAAAGATCTAAGAAAAATCAAGGAGTAAAAGATAAAAAACCAAAATCAAGATATAACAAATGAAAATCCAGATTCCTGGATCCAAGAAAATCTTGAGAATTTATATATACCTCTGCATGCCGATCTGAATAAGTTCATCGATGGAGGATTCCAAACCCTCTCGATCTTGTTTTTTCGTTAACATTTTTACCTCCTGAACCACATGAATCCCCCAACCCGACTTCAGATCTGGCGCGTACATGTGCCGAATCGCCGATTCAATAATCCCTTTCGTTGCCTCGTCCGCCGCTGCCAGATCCTCAACGAATCTCCTCACAGACCTCATCCTTAGTTCCCTCGCCGTCATCGTTACTGCCACCCCACCTCCCATCGATCTACTCGCCGCCGTGAAAAGACAATTCCCATCCGCTTCCACCTCCCCTCCATGGCTAAGTTTAAACACAATACTCAAGCTCTTGTCCACTGGGTGCTTCCACAAAACTCCCTTATTGTACAGCCTTGTCAAATGCTTCTTCTGCTGGTCCTCTAACCCCGTCACATTTTCCCAAGATGTAATATTTTCCGGCACCGGCGTTGACTTTTCGATAATCTCCCCGACTGCGACAGTGGCGGCGGAGTCTAAGGAAGATGGGGTAGTGGTGGGGTCACGCCACGGGATTACCGGAGATGACGCCGTTGAATCACAGATCAACTTTCCCATTTTTCCACAAAAAATTATTTTCTATATTTGATTCAGTTTCTTGCCCTTTTTTTTTTTTTTTTTTTTTTCTTCTCCTTTTTTTTGGGTACTTTTCTCTGAAAATAGAGAGACGTTGGGGGTAGGTGGAGAGAGAGAGAGAGAGGTTAGGGTTAACGAATAGATTTTAATTTTTGACGTGGGTGCTAACGTGAGCCCGGGTGGACCAATTTCTTATCTGAGCCTATTCGGGACACCTGTCATGATGCGATTGGATACTCTTTGTTAACGTTATGCGTTATTCTCGAGGACAGAGGCCTGGTTGTGACGGGACGGAGCTGATTCTTGTTCTATAGTGGAAGCTTGACGCCGTTAATATAGATGTTATAAAACAATTTAAAATGGGTACAACGAAGAATGAGATTTTGATCTTTGGCTATTGGATAGAAGATTCAATCGTTGAAATTTATCCTTATTTAGACCCTGTTTGGGAGGGATTAAATTTTTCTATAGTAAATCAATTCTCATTTTCAACCACACATTTTTCAATAAAATAATATTTTTCATCACATCAATAATTTTTTCTT